GCATGCGTGCCAGCTTCCCCAGCGGTGGCAGCTAATGTGACTTTATCACAATTAGCAAAGTTATTTTAAATTTGTTATAATATTTTGCAATACTGTTTTACTGTATTTTGATCAAATAAATATGCATTTATTTGATCAAAATACAGTAAAACATTAAATATTCAAACATTAAAAATTTACTTTTTTTTTTAAAATATATTTTAAAATGTAATTTATTCCTGTGATCAAAGCTGAATTTTCAGCATCATTACTCCAGTCTTCAGTGTCACATGATCCTTCAGAAATCATTCTAATATGCTGATTTGCTGCTCAAGTATTATCAATTTCTTATTATTATCAGTTGTTATTATCAACTGTTGAAAACAGTTGTGCTGCTTCATATTTTTGTGTAATAGTAAACAGAAAGTTTGAAAGAACAGCATTTATTTAAAAATAGAAATCTTTTGTAACATAATAAAATCTTTACTGTCACATTTGATCAATTTAATGCATCCTTGATGAATAAAACTATTAATTTATTTAAAAACAACTCACCCCAAACTTTTGAAGGGAAGTGTACAAGACATACAGTAAATACATAATTTTGTCTGTTTGTCATAAAAAGTGACAGGATTAGTGTTAAGTGTATTTATTTCTCACAGATATCATGATCTGTTTTGATACACATATAAAACATTTAAATGTTCATAACAAGCCATTTCATTTTAACCTCATGACTAAAAGTCATGATAATGACAATATAGGTCATATAGGTTAATTTCTCTATTAATACTTCTACTTATACAATAGTACATCTGTTTGGACTTCCACAATGTACAATAATAAGAAGAACGGACTGAATCTTAACATAAACAACAAGCCCTCACTGGCATTTTACGGGATAAAACCGAAATCTGCTGAGTAAAAAAGTGAGAGTGAAGGAAGTGCTGTGGTCTCTCTCTGTCGGAGGGTCTAGAGTTGATGCAAGGACACAGAACAGAGTGAGTTCAAGGCTTTCATTCATTCACGTGATTGGATGGATTGCTCTCCGGCTGTGAATTACCGTATCCTGGTGAAGAGGTTCAACACTGATTTGGATTCCTGGAGACAGAAGACAAAAACAAATGTGAAACAGGTAACAGTAAGATGCAGGACAAGCTGCACGTCTAAATGTAAGACTTCAGCCTGACCTTGGTGCAGCGTGTTTTGCTGAAGACATTCCAGAACCTCAGCGTCTCGTCTCCTGCTCCCGTTACGATGGCCTCGCCATCTGGAGACACTGCCTGTACACAACCAGAAGCATCCTCAACATGCATTCACTTCTCATGTGTGTCTGAACTAGCACAGGATCACATTATTAAATTACACATCGAAGATTTGATTACTATTTGTCTTCACCGGTCATTTGTACTTAATTGAAAATCAGATCCAGAGCCAACCGTGCCTTATGGATAATATGGCAGTTTACACCGTCCACAGTGTCTCTCTGTACTACTCTGAGCTATACAGTGAGCTTTCCTATTGGTACACTTGGAAAATGTTCAGTGTTATTCACTTTGATAAAACATAAATCATACATACAAAAGTACATAATGACAAAAAAGATTAAATATTAGTATTTTTATTGGGCATACGGAATGTACTGATGGCAATGTATTCATGAAGCTTCAAAACATTTATGAATCCTTTGTTTTAAATCAGAGTTTTGGAGCTTGTATCAAACTTGGCATGCCATGTGATTTTGAGAAAACAAGGATTCATACCGTCATACTGTTCCCTTTCAAACGGTCTCTGCCATTATGAGTAAACTCCTGTTTACTCTGAATACTGATGCTTGATTTGATCACGTTCATGTAGCTACATGAACCAATGGCACTTCAACATGCAAAATTGGTGGAGCCGACTGCTATATAAGTCGGCTCAGAGTGCCATTGCCAGAATTTTTCAACTTCAGCGCAAATATCATCTCTTCACTAGACTCTGAAGCAAGAAGCTCGAAGCTTGCTACTCGCTGTGGAAGAACCCCCGGCAGCGGAAAGACCTCCTCTTCAGCACCTTCTCTCTTGCGGCTATCCGGCAATCACAAAGAGTAAATTTTCTAGAGCAAATTTCCTCTGTGTTGTTGCAAATGCCGCGCTGCTTATGTGGCTCATGCAGGGCACCCCTGCATGCTTCAGATGAGCACAGTGAGTGTGCCGCGACCACGCTGAGGCTGCGCTCACTGAGACCGACTGCTCTCACTACGAGAGCATACGTCTCGCCCTGCTTCGCTCACGGATTGCCTTCTTCAATGAAGGCGGCCCCACCCCTCCTGCTCTCCCGGTTTCTCTCCTCTCAGCTAGCTTGGAGGAAGAAACAGTGGAGTCACAGGGCTGAGCAACCGGGCTTGAGTGATCTCATGCCGGCACAGGTCCCGCGTGCTCACTCTCCCCGCAGCACTTTGATCCGCCAGTGTGTTTTACACATGAAGATCAGCACTTCTCGTCTACAATGAGCGGTTTGATCTTTTTAGGTGGCTCAGAGGAGAATGCTGGCAATGATGATTTCATATCGCTGACCGCTTCAGGTTTGAGTGCACCACTTGCCTGGGCCATGCCCACGCTGATGATGCACTCACTGAGACAGACTGCTCTCACTGCGAGAGCATGAGTCTCGCCCTGCTTTGCTCGCGGATCACCTTCTCCAATGAAGGCGGCCCCCGCCACTCCCGCTCTCACGTTTCTCCCCTCCCAGCTGCCTCGGCAGAAGAAACAGTGAAGTCATAGGGCTGAGCGACCGGGCTTGAGTGATCTCACACCGGCCCACGTGCTTCACTCTCCCCGCAGCACTTTGATCTTGAGCAGTTTTGCACATGAGGATCAGTGCCCTCTTTTTAGGTGGATCAGAGGAGAATGCTGTCACTGATGATTCCATATCACTGACAGCTTCAGATTTGGAGGATTGGGCGTGCTCCGGAGAGGATCCTGACACACTTCTCCCCAATGAGTTATTATGGGCTGGTGGAGAGCGAACTGATTCGCATCCTCTCTAGGCTGTGGAGAATCTCGGCTTAGAATGGTTGGCTCCGGAAGAGCCTGCCTGCAGCCGCTTAGAAGTGCAAACTCTGCTTGCAAAAGGAGCGAACAGCGAGTCAGGCTTTTACAGCCGCTACTTCCTTGTTCCCAAGAAAAATGGCGGGCCCAGCCATCTGAACCACGTGCTTATATAAACGCCTGTTCAAGATCCTGACTTTGAAGCAGATCCTCGCGCAGATATGCCCCTGGGACTGTTTTTTTATTACATTCACATCCAGAAAGCCCCTCATCACAGATCGCTCTTGAGATTCATGTTGGTGGGGGTGGCTTATCAATATACTATCCTACCATTCGGACTGTCAGACTGCCATTCGGACCGCTGCATCAGGGCTGTGGCCCCTCGCCTATTTCAATCAGGCGTCCCGTTGGGACTGACCTCCACATGGAAGGTGGTCACGACAGATGCCTCCATCTCAGGTTGGGGAGCTCTGTAAAAGGCATCAACTGCCTCGAGATGATGGCGGTTTTTCTAGCCCTAAAGTCTTTCCTGCCAGCCTTAAAGGGGCACCACGTCCTGGTACGTTTGGACAACATGACGGTGGTAGCCTTTATAAAGCACCAAGGCGGTCTCACGTCACGCTGCCTTCAGGCTGATGATACACGGGGCAACGTTTTGAGCAATTTTGCTGGGCAACTTTTTTTGAGCAATGTTGCTTGGGCACTTTCCCATTGAGAATGGGTAACAAATTTCTATCTGGATACTTTAGATAGGTTGTGTGCCCTGTGTCTCACCTCATTGCCCATTGATGGCAACATTAGCCAAAGTTGCCCGGCAACATTGCTCAAAAAGTTGCCCCGTGTAACATCTCGGCGATAAAACAGTATCGATATTTATCAACGGTACACCATCATTGATAACGGTAGGAAAAATTTTTGATATATCGCACGATAGTTTCACACTTTTTCATGTAAAGGCACGTGGCTATGAGTGACAAGCAGACAGCCAACAGAATACATCAATGGAAAGCTTATTTATTCAGCTTTCAGATGATGTATAAATCTCACAGGTTGGCTTGATGCCTCATTTTATGGGCACAGTGCAACCTTCTCTCGCTGAGAGCAGTTCACGTGCTGGGCAGACTGAACCAAGGAGTGGACATGCTGTCCAGGGGCAACGTAGCTCCAGGAGAATGGAGAATGGAGACTACATCCCCAAATGGTTCAGACGATCTGGTCTGTCTTTGGGAGGCAGAGGTGGACCTGTTCGCCTCAGAAGACAAATTTCACTGCCCAATTTACTCCTCGAAGTGAGATGTCCTGGCCCAGGATTGGCCCAGCGCTCGCTTGTATGCCTCCCCCCTGCTAGATAAGAGGCGCACTTCTATGCTCAAAGTTTATGTGGCAGCCATCATGGCGAATCATGCTCTCGTGACTGGCCAGTCAGTCGACAGAAACAACCTTGTTGTTAAGTTTCTGAGGGGAGCTCGGAGACCGAATCCGCCTCATCCTCATACTGTGCTGACCTGGGACTTATCTATAGTCCTCAGGGCCCTACGAGGCCCTCCCTTCGAGCTGCTCCAGTCAGCTGACTTGCAGTCCCTGTCGCTTAAGACCACCCTCCTTTTGGCTTAGCATCGGTCAAGCAGGTGGGTGATCTGCAAGCACTGTCAGTCAGTGCTTTGTGTCTTGAGTTTGGACCTAACAACTGTAGGGTCATCCTCAAACCAGGACACAGCTGTGTGCCTAAAGTGCTCTCCACAGAGCACAAATCATTACCCTTTTAGCTCTTCCCAATTTAATGGATGAGCAGGGTCCCAATCCACTCTGCCTGGTTCGGGCTCTTAGAGTGTATGTTGAGTGCTCTGGCCCGTTTCGGCACTCAGAGCAGCTCTTTGTGTGTTTCGGAGGCTGCTCTAAGGGGCTGCTGGTTGCATAGCAGAGACTATCTTGCTGGATAGTGAATGCTATAGCCCTGGCTTATGCCACAGTGGGTTTACAGAAGTGAGGGCCCACTCCACCAGGGGAATGGCCTCCTCCTGGACTTGGTCCAGTGGGATTTCCATCGGCGATATCTGTGCGGCTGCCGGCTGGTCATCGCCGTCCACCATCACCAGGTTTTATAACTTGTAAGTCCCTGTCCTTCAGGCACAGATTTTGCCCGCTTAAGTTTACCTAATCCCCTCTGTAAGTGAAGAAGGTTTTGTTATGTAGTCCTCAGCCTAGTGGCTTGGGTCTCATAATTAGCTCATTCTTGCAGGAGCCCTCAGTACGGGTGCTCCGGGGCTGGGCTTCGTTCTGCACTTGCTTATAGCATGGCTTTTGGATGCGTTCCCCATAGTGTTTAACGCAACGGGAGAGACCGTTCGAAAGGGAACGCTCCGGATACTAACGGGAACGAGCGTTGCGTAAGCTGCCATGCTATAAGGCTGCTTGTGAGTTTCTGATGAAAGATTCTGATGAAATGGCACTCAGAGCCAACTTATATAGCAGTAGGCTCCACCTGTTTTGGCGGGCTGAAGTGCCATTGGTTCGTGCAGCTACACTAATGTGATCAAATCAGGCTTCAGTATTCAGAGTAAACAGGAGTTTACCCATAGCATTTAACGCAACGCTCGTTCCCTTATCTCATAATTTTTCAAACATTATTGTCAACGTTAATGCGTTAACGCATGCGATTAATTTAAAAATCCTTAACACGTTAAAATAATTATTGACGCAAATAATTAACACAAAATTACTGAAACAATTTCTATTCTAACCCTTTAGATAAAGCAAACCAGCTTCTCTCTAGTAGTAGGTATAAGCGGCCAGCTAGAACTGGGCGATAAAACAGTATCGATATTTATCAACGGTACACCATCATTGATAACGGTAGGAAAAATGTTTGATATATCGCACGATAGTTTCACACTTTTTCATGTAAAGGCACGTGGCTATGAGTGACAAGCAGACAGCCAACAGAATACATCAATGGGCAAATAAAATATAAAAAAGGAGATTTTTGTTTCAATTTTATTTTGTGTTTGACTGTTAAAACCAAATTTAGTTGTTGTTTGACTAATTAAATTGGGTAATTTAAAAATACAGTGGTTAAATTTAAATATTGTTTCTACTGCTCTGTTTAAAAAAGTTTATTAAAAAATAAAATAATTATCCATATCAAATTATATGTAACATTATATCATGATAAATTTTTTAGCTATATCGCCCAGCCCTATGGTCAGCTCAAGGTGGTTGGTTTAGGGTTTTTTTGCATCATGTGGTCCTGTTCGGTATCACAACTTGACTTGTCTACTGTACTATACACTATGAATTCTGAAAAGTTTTTTCAGCCTTTTTTAAATTAATTAATTAATTTATTTAATGTGTGCTTTGGTGTGCACAAATGTATCAATTATATGAACTTCTTATATCATTTGGTTCTTTGGTGTCCTTTTGGAGTCTCCAAGTGTCCTATTTTTAAATTTATCTTGAAATAAGCTTGCAGAAAATACAGTTTTGTAAGAATCACCCTTCAATATTTTGGTTTACTTTGCTGGATATAGCAAATAATGACAAAATAAACTTGTTAAATAAGATAAATGGTATATCACACAAAAAGTGTGATTAATCCGATTAAATTTTTTTTAATCTACTGACAGCCCTAGTTAAAATATTTTTTCTTTCAAAAAAACAGTACGTTTATGCCAAACTACTTAATACGGTTTTCTTTTCAAGAATTTCATTCTTTTAATGTCTTTTTTTCTTCATTATGATATCAGGACAGTTGCCTTACGCAAATATCAAAATGAATTTTAATTAAGAAACTATCAACATGCTCATCATAACAATGTGTTCAAGTCATTTTATGTATGACATTTACTGCATCTCTACAGTATTTTTGGAAAAATACTAGATCCAAAAACACACTTACCAAGTAGAGGACTCGGTATGAATGTCCTGTGAGCTTGGCCACCTGGGTGAGCGATGGGTATTTCCACACCAAGATCTGGTTCTGGGAGTAGCCGTGTGTGCTGACCTAGTGGACATCAATGGTGAAAGCCAGTATGGGGAAAAGCATTTGATTTGACTTGTGATTGTAGATGCTTATCTTACCAGCTCGTTGGCGTGTTTGGACCAGGCCAGGTTGCAGACCTGTGAGCCGGTGTCAGTACTCTGTAACGCCTGTCCGGTCAGAGTGTTCCAGAAGCGAAGGCAGCGGTCAGCTGTTCCTCCTCCGGAGGCCAGCAGGCCGTGCTGGTGAGGAGACCAGGCGATGGCCTTCACGGCGGCCAGGTGATCGCTGTACTGCTGCACGGGGAGCAGACTGGAGCTGTTCCACACCAGTAACTAACAACAGTAGAAAAACACACAGTTTTGTCATGCTTTTTAGACCAAATTAAATTTTTTATTTGTTTTGCACTCATGCTGGAAAAAAACATTTGGTCTTAATTGGGTTCTTATCAACAAATCTGAAATCAGTACTCTAAAATTGTCCGTGTTCGTTCCATTCATTTATTTTTTAATATAATATTGAAAGCAGAAAAAAAAAAAATGCCTCGATATAGAGTTGCAATAAACACTTTAAAAATCTGTACAACTATAACAGCGGATGACTATTATTCTGTTGCAAGGAACTGAACAACTGATGACAGCACGGATTGAACTCTAGTTGACCAATCAGCGGGAAGTTGAGTTTCATGCTAGCCCACATGTGGAAATCGAATATTCAAGCTGCATTTTCTACACCTAAACCTAAAAATAAAAATCCAAGCCAAATTTTGGCAGTTTACACCATCCACAGTGTCTCTCTGAACTATTCTGAGTTATATAGTGAGCTGTCCTATTGGTATACTTGGGAAATGTTAACTGGTATTGGATTTGATAAAACATAAAAGTGTTTACAATAAGAAAAAAAAAAAGGACTGGTGTTGTGTGGATTACTTGTGGATTATTGTGATGTTTTTATCAGCTGTTTGGACTCTCATTCTGACGGCACCCATTCACTGCAGAGGATCCATTGGTGAGCAAGTGATGTAATGCTAAATTTCTCCAAATCTGTTCCGATGAAGAAACAAACTCATCTACATCTTGGATGGCCTGAGGGTGAGTAAATTTTCATTTTTGGGTGAACCATTCCTTGTTTTCCAATTCTTGTTTATTCATTATAATTTTTTTAAAACTGAAAAACGAAAAAAAGCAACAAACGGATCATGTTCTCAGCCAACTTAGTCAAGTCTTGCATGAAAGGGCTTGTTCAATTTTTCTGCTAATCAGATCATCCTGTTTATATGACGCTCTAACCTTGTTATCGTTCCCTCCAGAGGCGAGGTGCTGGTGGTCAGGTGACCACTTGAGGCCACACACTTCCTGCCTGTGGCCCTGGAGGCGTCTCTCCACAGGAGGCGGTGTCCTCACGTCCCGCTGCAGAATCACTCTGTCCCGGCTACCCGACGACAGCTGCTCTCCATTCCACGCAAGTGCTCCTGAGGTTATATGAAGATTATTTGTTCTTGATGAAGATCTTAGTTTTCTTAGTCAAAACAAATCTGCAAAATTACTCTGAGAGTGATTTAAACCAGCAAAGATTTAAAGTCAAATCAAGTTAAGTCACCTTTATTTGAATAGCGCTTTATACAATACTGGTTGTGTCAAAGCAGCTTTACAGTGTCAAACAGGAAAATAGTTTGTCAATGATGCAAGAAGACGATGACAGAGTCATTTTTTCAGCTAAAGTCATTTCATTGATGATTCAGTGATGTCATCATCCAGTTCAGCTCTCTTGCAATAGTGTCTGTGCAATCAGTAAAGCATCCCCAACTAAGCAAGCCAAAGCAAAGTGAGTGATTTTAGTGTGACACAAACCTACGCGTGCTGAATGTCCCTCCAAACTGGTCAGCTTCCTCCCTCCGGCCGCGTCCCAAATCTGGACAAATCCTTTATGGGTCCCTACAGCCACCAAACTTCCCTGAGTGAACAACAAAGCAGAAAATATTACCCTAAACAATCACAAATACAATCACAAGTCAGAAATCTTTATATAACATATAAAAGGTTTGTGCTGACCCTCTCATTCCAACACACTGATGTAACAGAGTCACCATCCACTGATAAGTCACACAACCGCGTCACCTGTGTATGTTTGGAAGTATAAAATGAAATGCTGATTACTGACAATCACATTAGATCACATCTGTAGCTGTTTGTGCTTACAGTTTGTCTCATACCTGACTGGTACAGGCACTCCACAGGTAAACACAGGCCCCCAAACCAACACTCAAGAGGTTTCCAGCTGACCAGTCCACCTGTTCACAATCGTTTTCAGTCAAATTACATTACATTACGTGGTTCTCTGAAATACTTGATTCTGATTGGTCAATAAAGTTCTATATTTTTAAATAATGACCAATGACTGTATAATTATAAACTTTATAACCGCTGTACCAGGCAACAAATTCCTTACTGTCAGCTGGTCATTATATTGCAAAAATAAAGTAATAATAACGTACCGTCAGAGTGATACAAGATCCCTATCCATTATTTAATATTTGTACAATTATAAATTTATTAAGATATTTGTAAATGAAGAGTACCAGGTTGAGGTAGAAGTCATCCTGCAACTCTGGGGCATCAAGAACCTTGAATGGGATCTTGGAAATCTTGCGAGCTGGCTTTCGGGGTGAACGTAATAGTTTGTGACTACAGACAATAAAAAAAATTTTAAAAAATTAAATCACACATTTAAGTTTTATCCCAGTGAAATTTATAGAAATTCACAGGCATGTCTAATATTTGGATAACATTAACAGTATACAAAAAAGTCCTGTTGCTTTTATGAGCTATAAACAGAAAAATCACCAAAAAAAAAAATCTTAATCAGTAATTTTCTATCGAGAAAAAATATATACGGGCCATAAATTAAGAATTTGTTCTCATGACTAATTTGTGGCCCTGTTTTATTAATTGGTTCCCTTTTTTAGTTAAATCATGTCCATGTCAGATTCATTTGTTCTCTCGTCTTCACAAAGTCTTGGGAACAAATTCTTAATTTGTTGCCACAATATATTTTTCTTCGCTTGTCATGTGCGGGGCTCTGTATTTTTGCCTTCTTTTATTATAAATATATCTAAACCTAAAAACAATTTGCCAAAAACAGTGAGAAAAATAAGCTTAACTCATTTATAAAAACAAGTAATTTTGTCGTATTTGAAATTCTTCTGAAGTAAATTTGTCATGTTTTACAATAAAGATGTTTTGCAGTGCACACAAAAAATTTATAAATTATTAATTATATTTTGAATTAATACCGAGATTACAGAGAAACTATACCTTTTGTTACTGAGAGGAGAGAGGGAGTAGGGGGAGATTTCATTGTCAAAAGGCACTCTCTTTGTGTGGATGGTGTACTGAGAGACAAAAGAAAAACAAGAGTCTAATACAATATAACAACATGTGAGAAAAAGAGCAGAAAACATGTAAGTTTCTCCAGTGAGCTTTTTACGTGACAGTGAATCTCACATGGATCTGTCATGTAAACGTTACAGTGTGTTGAGTGGGCTCACCCTGAAGAGGCTGTGTGTGTCCTGCATGAGGATGGTGTGTTGACGGTCATCCGTGTGAGGATCAGGCACGGTTTCGATTCCTGCTCCCAACAGCTCATTCCTTAGCAGTGCAGCATACGCCACAGCGTCTGCAAAACAGATTTTGTTACATTTTTAATTTTAATTTATATCTTTTGCTTTAGTGTGCCAATAGGAAATACTAATTTCATTCCTTTTGCAAACACCCAAATGGCAAACACATATATTATTTTCTTTTTATGGAAAGAAATTAAAGAAAACTTTTTTTTTTTCTGCAAACTTTTGAATCTATCATCTACCTATATCTATCTATATGTATAAATATAGATAGATAGATAGATAGATAGATAGGTAGATAGAAAAATTGAATGGTAGTGTATAATGTTACAAAAGCTTTCTATTTCAGATAAATGTGGTTCTTTTGAACTTCTGTTCATCAAACAATCCTGAAAATAAATTGTACACAATTGTTTTCATTGTTGATAATAATAATAATAATAATAAATGTTTCTTGAGCAGCAAATCAGCATATTAGAATGATTTCTGAAGGATCATGTGACACTGAAGACTGGAGTAATGATGCTGAAAATTCAGCTTTGCACCACATAAATAAATTACAATTTAATATATTTAAATAGAAAACAGTTATTTTAAATTGTAAATATATTTCACAGTATTACTGTTTTTTTTGCTGTATTTTGGATCAAACAAATAATAGTGAGAAGAAGCTTTTTTTTTAACATAAAAAATCTAACCAATCTAAAACTTTGGAATGGTAGTGTATATCTATTCAAAATGATCAAGTGACAGTAAACAGTTTTATATTGTTAAAAATATATATTTCAATTTTCAAATAAATGCTGTTCTTCTGTACTTTCTATTCATGAAAGATTCCTAAATAAAGTATCACAATTTCACTCAGAAAAATCTTACCAACCCTAAACTTTTGAATGATAATGTTTGTATTGTATTTTATTCTAAAATAAAAAATTTGTTTACAAAACATATAAGTGTATGTTGTGTGTATATACAGTATGTTACGTATATATAAATACACACATATGCATGTATATATTTCAGAAAAATGTGTTTTGTTTATATATAAAATATTTATATATATGTAAAGATTTTTCAAATATATACATATTGTGTATTTATATATTCATAATAAATATACACAGTACACAGACATATATTATGTAAACAAAAACCTATTTTGGATGCGATTAATCGTTTGGCAGCACTAGTTTGTATATACTGTATATCAGTTCACTGTGAAAATCGAGGGCATGTACAAGCAGATGCCGAATGACTTCACCTTTCCCTGTGTCTGTACTAGCATCCTTCGCCCGCTGATTCTGATTGGGTGACCAACAGTTCTCCTGCAAACGAACATGCAAATATCAAGTGAATTTTTAGTGGTGCAATGACATTAATGTATTGGCTTTAATCTATTATTCTTCTTTACTATGGATGAGTGTAAACACTTCAGATGAATGTTAACTTACATTGGCATAGTGGAAGTTTATGCTCCAGTTGCTGCCGGCACGTGTGGGGATGAATCTGTCTCCTGATTTCACAGTTATACTGTATATCAGTTCACTGTGAAAATCGAGGGCATGTACAAGCAGATGCCGAATGACTTCACCTTTCCCTGTGTCTGTACTAGCATCCTTCGCCCGCTGATTCTGATTGGGTGACCAACAGTTCTCCTGCAAACGAACATGCAAATATCAAGTGAATTTTTAGTGGTGCAATGACATTAATGTATTGGCTTTAATCTATTATTCTTCTTTACTATGGATGAGTGTAAACACTTCAGATGAATGTTAACTTACATTGGCATAGTGGAAGTGTATGCTCCAGTTGCTGCCGGCACGTGTGGGGATGAATCTGTCTCCTGATTTCATAGTAACCGGACTGCACGCTGCATACCCTGACTGCATAAACAGTAATACACAGCGGAAACAGACAATAATTATGTGTAATATTTATATTTCTGCCTCTTTAAAGGGACAGTCCAGCCAAAAATCAATCTTCGGTCATCATTTACTCACCCTCATTTCATTCCAAACCTTTATGACTTTTCTCATTCTGTGGAACACAAAAGAAGATATTTTGAAGAATGTTTGGTAACCAAACAGTTTTGGATCCCACTGACTTCCATAGTACTTTTTTGACCATACTATGGACGTCAGTGGGACCTGAAACTGTTTGGTTACTAACATTCTTCAAAAACATCTTCTTTTGTGTTCCACAGAATGAGAAAAGTCATACAGGTTTGGAACAACTTTGATAATACTAGACAACTAGGATAATTTTATTATCCCTTACAGTATGAGTTGATTTTTATCTCATTTTACAATTATTAGGTAATACATTTAATAAATGCTAATCTAATTATTCAGATTAAAATTGTATGTTAATGAACTGCTTGCACTGACATGCTTGACACAAGAATGTGTTTACTGTATATGGTTAGAAGTCTAGTTATAAATATGGCTAAATTATAAACTAATGATCTTTTTATGCTTACATTGGACAGGTGGCCCTCAGGGACGTTCTGGTGGTTGATTTGCCTTAACAGGCGTCTTTCATAGTCCTGGTCCATTTCTACTGTAATCTACAGTAAGACTCTCTCCTTCAGTCTGCAGATGGGGGTCCTTCCAGGTCTCCCATCCCTACAAAAAAAAAAAGGTATATCCATCATTGAATAACACTATACTCACAATGATTTACTAATTAGCTGCTCCAATGACAGCTGTCAGTAGGTGTCAACTCAACATACCTATAATACAGTACAGGAGGGTTGTAAACACGCGTATGTAATCAGTTGCCATGGCAGCTGGCTAACTTAGCTGCACTGAGCTAACAGAAGCTTAACATCCAACATAATGACACGATAACAACGTTTTTTTATGAGTTTAATACATTTGGAATACCTTTACACCTCGTATTAGCAAAGAGAATCATCTTACCTTAACCAAGTACTCAGGAAACCCACATTATACAGACTTGTATGTTCAGCTAACGTTACGTGCGCAATGATTTCCTAAACATCTAACTTAGTTCGTGCTTTCCCGACGCTGCAACAAATATTAAGGCTGTTTCGGTAACGTGCTACCAATTTTTCGGTCTTCAGAGATAACGTTGCGATCATTGAGCAGAGGGCATCAATGTTTATGTTCATGTCAAGATGGCGAACAAATCAGCTGTGAGGGAGAAGAGTGTAATTCCGCGCACTACCAGAAGAGGCGCAGCGTGGCGCTGTCAGAGCAGAGCAGACAGTCCTGCATTATAATGTCAGAAACCACCAGGACAGATTACTGATGATTTCTTCATGACTAATGTGTGATTAGGAAGCTCATATGTGATATATTATAATATATTACATGCAAATCATTTAGACAATGACTTGAATACACCATTTCTAAGATAAACCGGTTTTAAATGTCTGAATTAAAATTAATTTGGATATTATTTTGTTGAGCTTAAAGTGTAAAAAAAAGCTGATTTCAATAAAGGGAAGAAGTCTTGTTTAATGCTGACACTCTTTGCCATTTGGCATTATTATTAAGCATGCAGTTTAAAAAAGGTAATCAGTAAAGAAGTTTTGTTCTAAAATATATTTTTTTATATATATTTTGGAAACAAGAAACATTACAGAGGAAAACACATTGAAAAGGAGGGTTGGTTATCAATATTTTTAAAGGTATTATATCAAGGCTGTCTGCTCCCACACAGGAACTGCTTGCCCCTGAACATCAGCTGTAGAAATGGGACATCTGCTGGTCGCCATGTGACAAAATGAAGCTTCTCAAGTAAACAGCAAGACTTTACTCACTTGCTTTAGCTGTATCAGATTCATATATATATATATATATATACAGTGGGTACGGAAAGTATTCAGACCCCCTTAAATTTTTCACTCTTTGTTATATTGCAGCCATTTGCTAAAATCATTTAAGTTAATTTTTTTTCCTCATTAATGTACACACAGCACCCCATATTGACAGAAAAACACAGAATTGTTGACATCTTTGCAGATTTATTAAAAAAGAAAAACGGAAATATCACATGGTCCTAAGTATTCAGACCCTTTGCAGTGACACTCATATATTTAACTCAGGTGCTGTCCATTTATTCTGATCATCCTTGAGATGGTTCTACACCTTCATTTCAGTCCAGCTGTGTTTGATTATACTGATTGCACTTGATTAGGAAAGCCACACACCTGTCTATATAAGACCTTACAGCTCACAGTGCATGTCAGAGCAAATGAGAATCACGAGGTCAAAGGAACTGCCTGAAGAGCTCAGAGACAGAATTGTGGCAAGACACAGATCTGGCCAAGGTTACAAAAAAATTTCTGCTGCACTTAAGGTTCCTAAGAGCACAGTGGCCTCCATAACCCTTAAATGGAAGACGTTTGGGACGACCAGAACCCTTCCTAGAGCTGGCCATCCGGCCAAACTGAGCTATCGGGGGAGAAGAGCCTTGGTGAGAGAGGTAAAGAAGAACCCAAAGATCACTGTGGCTGAGCTCCAGAGATGCAGTCGGGAGATGGGAGAAAGTTGTAGAAAGTCAACCATCACTGCAGCCCTCCACCAGTCAGGGCTTTATGGCAGAGTGGCCCGACGGAAGCCTCTCCTCAGTGCAAGACACATGAAAACCCGCATGGAGTTTGCTAAAAAACACCTGAAGGACTCCAAGATGGTGAGAAATAAGATTATCTGGTCTGATGAGACCAAGATAGAACTTTTTGGCCTTAATTCTAAGCGGTATGTGTGGAGAAAACCAGGCACTGCTCATCACCTGTCCAATACAGTCCCAACAGTGAAGCATGGTGGTGGCAGCATCATGCTGTGGGGGTGTTTTTCAGCTGCAGGGACAGGACGACTGGTTGCAATCGAGGGAAAGATGAATGCAGCCAAGTACAGGGATATCCTGGACGAAAACCTTCTCCAGAGTGCTCAAGACCTCAGACTGGGCCGAAGGTTTACCTTCCAACAAGACAATGACCCTAAGCACACAGCTAAAATAACGAAGGAATGGCTTCACAACAACTCTGTGACTGTTCTTGAATGGCCCAGCCAGAGCCCTGACTTAAACCCAATTGAGCATCTCTGGAGAGACCTAAAAATGGCTGTCCACCAACGTTTACCATCCAACCTGACAGAACTGGAGAGGATCTGCAAGGAGGAATGGCAGAGGATCCCCAAATCCAGGTGTGAAAAACTTGTTGCATCTTTCCCAAAAAGACTCATGGCTGTATTAGATCAAAAGGGTGCTTCTACTAAATACTGAGCAAAGGGTCTGAATACTTAGGACCATATGATATTTCAGTTTTTCTTTTTTAATAAATCTGCAAAAATGTCAAAAATTCTGTGTTTTTCTGTCAATATGGGATGCTGTGTGTACATTAATGAGGAAAAAAAATTAACTTAAATGATTTTAAATGATGGCTGCAATATAACAAAGAGTGAAAAATGTAAGGGGGTCTGAATACTTTCCGTACCCACTGTATATATAATAAAATCCATTTCTTCTGATCATCCTTCAGATGGTTCTACACCTTCATTTGAGTCCAGCTGTGTTGGATTATACTGATTGGACTTGATTAGGAAAGCCACACACCTGTCTAAGACCTTACAGCTCACAGTGCATGTCAGAGCAAATGAGAATCATGAGGTCAAAGGAACTGCCTGAAGAGCTCAGAGACAGAATTGTGGCAAGGCACAGATCTGGCCAAGGTTACAAAAACTGTGATGCCCTGTCCGGCTGGAGCGACGAGACAAAAACATTAAAGCCCATTATAAACGAGGCATTTGTTGCATCCAGTGGGGACATAATTACTGATTATAATGACTTATACTGTCTTTTTACGTGTTGCGTTGCATCGCGCCGCGTAAACTTAAAACCATGTCTGCATTTGTGATCTGAGAAAGGACAAACAACAAGCGCTGCTCTACACTGCTCAAAACTTGTGTTTGAATCATCAGTGGCAAATTCTTTAAATATAAAAAACGTACTTACAGTCTGTGAGTCAGAACAGCCGGCATTGTAGTCTACTCTCCCAGGATCAGGAAACAGTCCTCCATAAAATGCGCAATACACATCTGAATATTTGGTTTAAACTGTTCTGGAACAGTGTTGTAAATACAACTTAACCACTGATTTCTAGTCGTGTCCTCTTTTGGAAGGCCAAACAAAGTAGTTTCACTTTCACAACGAAACAGCGTCACACACAGTGGGCTACAGTGAGCGGAGGCCGGCTTGAGTGAGCGGTAGTTACGCCTTCTTTCTTTGCGTGAACATTTGGGCGGCGTTATGCAAATCTTCCCACGTCGTGACGTAGACATGTGGGGGCGTGTTAGAACGAGCCGTTTTAATATTCATGCTTTAAAAAAATACACTTATTTTGATGTGTTGACTAACATGCTACATGTCCTTGATTATAATTATTATCATTTAACTGTATTGTGTTATTCAATATCATATTTACAGTTAATACATTTTAAATATATTAAATTGCAACTTAATAAGTGGGTCAGAAAACTCTTAAGTTCCACTAATTGCATTTAATATAAATTTAAATGGGAACACTTTACAATAAGATGTCAATTGTTAACATTAGTTAAAGTATTAACTAACGTGAATGAACAATACATCTATTACAGTATTTATTAATCCTTGTTAATGTTAATAAAAATAGTCATTCATTGTTTGTTCATGTTAGCTTGTAATTTTAATAATGCATTAGTAAATGCTGAAATTAACATTAACTAAGATTAATAAATGCAGTAGAAGTATTGTTCATTCTTAGTTCTTGTTAACTAATGTAGTTAACTAATGAACCTTAATTGTAAAGTGTTACCATTTAAACTATAATACGTTTTCATTTCATTGCAAATAATTAAGTGTCCAAAACATTACATTCAGTTCATATTTAAGTATATTCTTTTAAGTTATAAGTAAAGGTTTGCTAAAGTGTACTTTTGTTTCATAAGGTTATGCAAAAGATTATTTTTCCTAGCTGAGATCCAGATCATTGTGAACCTGTAACAGGAATTCAGATCATCGCGAGCCTGATTGTGATAAAAAAATCTTGTGTCTAACAAATATAGATTCAGCTTAATCATGATAAATATGAATATCTCAAAGCCAGTCGTATGTCACCGTGTACTTCACCAGCATTAGTTGCACTCATTACACAGACTGACTAAATGCTTTATCTGATTACTGTCATGCTAGTGCAGCCGCACACTTCTCAGTATGAGGGATATGTAAATAAGTCCAGGCCTGCCTATGTAATGATCCAATTGTGTAAATAAGGCTGCATATTGATAACGAGATGGCATGAGGGAAAAACAGGAGTTTCCCATCACAGCAGGGACTGACAGCAGGGCCTCTTCAAGACAAGTGCAGTTGCTGTAGAATAATCCCGTACTTCTGCTGGTCTAGTATCAGACATAGTTGTTTTGAAGTGAAGAGTTGCATGAGGTGATGGTGACTGGTCATAAATTTCATTCAAAATTTAATATGCAAATAGCAATGTAATCCTGTATTTGAATGTACATAAATTCAAACCCATACTGTACGTGTAACAATTGCTTCCAAATGAAATTTTAAATTTAATATTGTAATTTTGCCATTTACCTTTCCTTAGGATAGCATTGACATTTATTACATCCTATAGTTTTAAAAGAAAAGAAATTGATGTTTTAAATTAGTTAATGCAATAAGATCATTAAATGCATTTATCATAAGGCATTTGAAATTGTATTTAAGGACAATTGCTTTAACATGCTAGCTGTCATTCAATGCATCAGAGCTGTTTTTCCTCACCTTGTGAAAGTGAGCTTAGCTGTATTGAATGTACACTTGTATCATTCTCCAAATCTTAAAAGTATATATACTTGCAGATAATATAATACTAATAAAAGAGTGTACACTTTCACAATAATGTTTCTTAACACATTTAAGTACATTTTTTTAAAAGTGGACTATTTAATGTCAAATTAAAAGTTTCCACCTAAAGTACATTTTAAATCATGTTTTAATAATCTTTTGCTGTTCTTTAAAGTACACTTATTTGGATGTGTTGACTAAAAGCACATGTAAAGTAGTTGATTATAATTTTAACTCTAGTGTGTTATTCTACATTGCATTTATTGCAAATGTATTTTAAATGTATTAGATTGCAACTTCATCATAACAAATG